AATCAAGTGATAAAAAAGAAAAAGCCAAAGTTAAAGATGAAACAAAGAAATCTGAAGGAAAGAAAGAATCATCTCCAAGGTAGATTCATATTTATTTTTACTAATAGATTAATATCAATTTTGTTGTCAACATAACAGAACAACAACAACGACAAACAGTTGTTCTGTTATATATGCTGTTATATATGTTATATACAGAATATATAATAAAGTATCACAGCTATCATAATAAGCATTACATATTTTAATTTATTTATTTTCATTTAGATTGCTGATTATTTGCTTTACATTATTTTCTCTGTTAAATTTTCAATTGGACATATTAATAGTTAATTGAAAATTTAACATAGTTATTGAAACAAGAAGCATTTTATAATACTGTACAATTATTTTTTCTGTTAATACAATAAAATTCATTTACTGTAATTACTTTAGAACTTGCATAAACTGATGATGATAAACTGATAACATTAAATGGGATAAGTAAGGTTATAATTAGTGAAAATTTCTATTTCATTGACTAATATTAAAACAATGGTTTTTAATGTGGGATACATTAGGAAAGTCTTGCACTCCAGTGCAAGACTTTTGCAAAAAACCTTTTCTGGGATAAGATTTTTTTTTGTTTGATTAAAAGTTTTAGATGTTTTTACATCTATTTCAATGAGAATTGAGTCTTATTTAAATAAAACATTAATAAAAAAAATGTATTGGTATTAAATTGAATATACAGGAATCACCATTAATGTGAAAAATAGCCATTTGTCAAAATGATAAAACTGGCATTATTGTATAATTTTTTATTTTTTGTAAAGGTTCTTACTCATTTCCAACCCTTTTATTTTTTTATTTACTGAAGATTTATGAAGCTCATTTTGTTAATCGAGACATATTTGCTTGAAATTAAGATTAAGTTGTTATTAAGTTACAATTACACCAATATTAAGTTACAATATGGCACCAATGGATAAAAGGAAACAACATCAATCTTGAAAAACCAATATGCATTTGATGGTAAAGCACCTAGATTTTTATTTATTATCATTTTTGCTTTGATGGCTGATGTAACAACTAGATCAGAGTGGGGCATTAGGGATTTTAGAAATTTTGTCATTTCCTTTTCTAAGAAATATGTAGGGTGTGTGTTTATTTACTAAGGGGTGCAATGGGCACTCTTGTTTGTGTACTTTTTCTTCAAAGAATAATCTCTGACATGCTATGTTAGTGGAGAGGATCTATGGCCAGTAAGAGACAAAGTAATTCCTGACAAGGTGATAACCTTTCTTGTTTTATGCAGAACAGTTAGTGCTGGATCTGAAGTCAATAATACAGACCCAGATTGTGAAAATAATTGATTTGCTCTAAGTAGAAAATCATTTTTGCACAACACAAACTGTTTAACTTTGTCCAAAATGATCAATCTTAATTTCTGTTTTAAAAGGAATTGTTTCACTGCATTACACTTTTTGTTGATTAGCTTAGGTGTTTGATATCACTGGGACAAGTGTATTTCTGAGATGGCAGTGCTTTCTAGATTTATTCTTNCAAACATACATATAGGCTTGTTTAGGAAGCCCGCGTATAGACAGTCTCCAAAAATCGTGGAACGCTCAAAGCTCACTCCATTTGTTCCACTGACATATAACGTTTATGGATGTAAAGGACAGCTAGATGTACCTTAATCGCTTTAGTTCCTAGCAATTTTTGATATAAATGTAATTAAACATAAAAAATGTAATTAAACATGTATTTTTTATGTTTAATTACATTTATATCAAAAATTGAAAAAATGAAAGAAATGCGTTAATTTTGAATAAAAAGCTTCAAAGTTTAACTTCCTTTGTCTCGCCCTTCTGTGAAATTTAACACCGATGAGTCATTGTTTACACAGCTGGGTGACCTTGAGAACATCTGGGTTTAGATTTCCCGGGGCATTCTCATAGACGTCGTGGGAGGACAAGGGTTTAAAGTAGGGTGAATATTAGCTGACCGTATATTTTTAAATATTTTTTAAAAATTTGGTGACTTAAAAAACATTCCAAAAATTCAAAAAAAAAACTCAAAAATGGCCTTAAGGACCGTGTTTTATGTAACGCTATATAACCTGCCCTAGATATCTCGGGGGAATTAACTCTTCACATCCAGATGTCAGTGATTTGTTTTTAGAGTGAGCTTTTGCAATTCGGAGATTCCCCTTGTACATGATACTTACCATCGACAAGTCGCTATTACATCATTCTGAGTTTCGCATTGAAAGGTATAAACTGTAATTGTTTTGAAGTTAAATTTTATTTTAGCGGTGTTTTGTTCATTTTTATAATAAGTAGTGAGTTTAGATTTTGCTAATTTCAAGTTGCAGTAATAAGCAGCCTATTTCTTTTAATTTCTGCAAACTTTTTTATGCGGTTTTAAGTTAATTTTAACTCGTTGTTTTGGTTTTATGCGATTTTAGAAAATTACGGAACGTATCCCTACTTTTTCAAGGCAAGTAAAGTCTTTTTTTTATGCGAATTTTTTATATGCGCTTTTCTGTAGAACGTATCCACCACATAAAACGAGACCTTACAGTATAATACTATATCCTAAAATCTTTAATTTCATTTAAATATTATTTTTTCTAATGTCATATGTTCCATTATTACTTTTAACATTCTTTTAGTTGTATTGTACTACTGTATAAACTATGATACTCAGACATGAAATTATAAACTTGAACATGACCTGAGGAAGAAAACTGCACTATTTTTTAACATTATAATTTTATATTGTTTATGTTGTTGTGTTATCTAAGTACAAATTAAAATATTTGCAAATAATAATCATAAAAGTTTAACACATAATAATATAAAATTATTAAATTTTAAACTTTTTAACTAAATTTAAATTGAAAACTAGTAGTCATTAAGGTCAATTTGGTTGTATTAAATGTAAAACTTATTAAAAATCTTTTATGTAATGGAAAATTATTCAATCCAAATTTCTTGAGTTTTTACAATATTTCATGAATTGACAGGTTAATTTAGGAATTATTTCTTGTCAGATGATTCATGTTCTCTCTTATAAGTGAGACTGAGAACAATGTTACATTTTGTTAATAATAAATCCTATTTTTACATTTTGTGTTAATAAATCCTTTAAGTTATGTGCATATATAAATGCAACACAAATAAAGGGTAATTATTCTCCTTTATTTACCCAAGTCACTAAAATATACTTACTTTCATTAGGAAATATTGATCACAATTCAACAGTTAAAGCAATTAATTTGCTTAGTTATTTTCAAATTGTTTATATAAAATAATTTTGCATTGTTTTAATCTTTAAGCTCTCAGAACTGATATATAAAAGCATAACACTTTATCACCAAAAGCATTTCATTTAAATTAATTTGTTATGAATAATATACACTATTAGATTATATTATTTACTAGCTTACCCGTCGCGCATTGCTGCGATCTCAGAAGAAAGGAAATTCAAGCAAACTCGTTATGATAAAATTAAATTTACATTTCATCATTTTTATTGAAACTTATTATTTTTATTCATTTTCATCGGGAAAACATTTCAAAGTGTCGTTTCAATTCTATTTATTTATTGGAGTGCTTGTGGATACACGATATTTTTTGTTTTTTGTCTGGTGCGTACACGAATAAATCAGAAGGTTTTCTGACGTGTGAGCTGGCCACATACAGTTGTCCATGCGAGAAGCACGGATTCTCCAAATTTAACCCACACACTCGCAGCGATTGTCAGAAGTGCGATATTCCTCATTTTTATATATTTTTTAAAATCTTTTATAATTTTCATTATTTAATTGCTCCTTCCTCTCTTCNCGTTTAAATACTGGCCTCCCTTTCATGGTCGAGCCAGTGTTGCCAGCTAAAACATGTAAAAATTTAACAAAAATAATATTAAAGTAGACAAGACATAGCCAAATATTGTAGCACCACATTTGAAATTTGCCGACTAGAACGCGATTGGTTAACCAAGGAGACGGTTAATTGGGGGTCGGATAATCGATGCTCTACTGTATTTTTAATATAATGTTTTACTATATCGCCCAGAAAATAGTTTTTCGCTCCCCAAAATATAAATTGTTATAAATTCCCCCCTCAACATGGAAAAACACCCACATGGGGGCGATATCGACCTCGTTGAGAAACACTGGTTTAAGGCAACTCTAGGTGTTAGTCTTTTGGCCAACAGTGATATAATTACTACTATTTATCACTTAGTTTATAGAATACTGTTTTTTCAATGTAAACATAACTCTAGTTACATAATGTGATTGTAATTCATATTTTAAAATATTGTGTGTTAAAGTTTTTTATAATTAAAATAAACTTACTGTGTAATGTATGGGTTTTTGTATCATTCCCAGGGGAATCAATCAATGCAGTGTATTGCTTTATACATTGAAAAATTCTAATCTTTAAAAAATCCTGAATTGAATCACTGTAAAATTGATCTAAAAAATACATATTTTAATGAAAGTTAGTTTTGTATTATTTTTATTTTATTTTTATCAAATACTTTCATTTGGAAATAAACAATAAAAGAATTCATTATATATTTTCATTGCTGAAAGATAATATAAGAAAACATAATACATTAAATGTCAAGTTAAATGTAGTTTCAACTTATCTGTATATGTTTGCTCTTATATGAGCTGCAAGACTGATCACTTCTACTGTTTAAAAAAAGATATTCTTCTATATTCTAAATTATTATTGTAACTGAAATATAAGAAATTCAGACAAATTTATTTGCTTACATCATAGAATAAACAGTAATGAATTATCCAATAATGGTAAATAAAATGTAAATGGTTTTAAAGCAATTGAAAAAAATGTATTTTATGAGACTTCCTGGGCTTATAAATTAAAATTAAATTGTGAATTATACACAGATGTTATAGCTTACAGTTTACTTTAAAAACATTAAAGTTTTATTCGTATTATTTCACAAAATTAATTTTATAACAATGATAGAATTTGCTAATATTATAAATTTTTTATAGACTTTAAAGAATCAAATATGCCTGTTTCAAAAAAACAAAAAGCAGATAAAGGATATAGTCCTGAAGATAATGGTCGCGCTTCCCGTAAATCAAGTGATAAAAAAGAAAAAGCCAAAGTTAAAGATGAAACAAAGAAATCTGAAGGAAAGAAAGAATCATCTCCAAGGTAGATTCATATTTATTTTTACTAATAGATTAATATCAATTTTGTTGTCAACATAACAGAACAACAACAACGACAAACAGTTGTTCTGTTATATATGCTGTTATATATGTTATATACAGAATATATAATAAAGTATCACAGCTATCATAATAAGCATTACATATTTTAATTTATTTATTTTCATTTAGATTGCTGATTATTTGCTTTACATTATTTTCTCTGTTAAATTTTCAATTGGACATATTAATAGTTAATTGAAAATTTAACATAGTTATTGAAACAAGAAGCATTTTATAATACTGTACAATTATTTTTTCTGTTAATACAATAAAATTCATTTACTGTAATTACTTTAGAACTTGCATAAACTGATGATGATAAACTGATAACATTAAATGGGATAAGTAAGGTTATAATTAGTGAAAATTTCTATTTCATTGACTAATATTAAAACAATGGTTTTTAATGTGGGATACATTAGGAAAGTCTTGCACTCCAGTGCAAGACTTTTGCAAAAAACCTTTTCTGGGATAAGATTTTTTTTTGTTTGATTAAAAGTTTTAGATGTTTTTACATCTATTTCAATGAGAATTGAGTCTTATTTAAATAAAACATTAATAAAAAAAATGTATTGGTATTAAATTGAATATACAGGAATCACCATTAATGTGAAAAATAGCCATTTGTCAAAATGATAAAACTGGCATTATTGTATAATTTTTTATTTTTTGTAAAGGTTCTTACTCATTTCCAACCCTTTTATTTTTTTATTTACTGAAGATTTATGAAGCTCATTTTGTTAATCGAGACATATTTGCTTGAAATTAAGATTAAGTTGTTATTAAGTTACAATTACACCAATATTAAGTTACAATATGGCACCAATGGATAAAAGGAAACAACATCAATCTTGAAAAACCAATATGCATTTGATGGTAAAGCACCTAGATTTTTATTGATTATCATTTTTGCTTTGATGGCTGATGTAACAACTAGATCAGAGTGGGGCATTAGGGATTTTAGAAATTTTGTCATTTCCTTTTCTAAGAAATATGTAGGGTGTGTGTTTATTTACTAAGGGGTGCAATGGGCACTCTTGTTTGTGTACTTTTTCTTCAAAGAATAATCTCTGACATGCTATGTTAGTGGAGAGGATCTATGGCCAGTAAGAGACAAAGTAATTCCTGACAAGGTGATAACCTTTCTTGTTTTATGCAGAACAGTTAGTGCTGGATCTGAAGTCAATAATACAGACCCAGATTGTGAAAATAATTGATTTGCTCTAAGTAGAAAATCATTTTTGCACAACACAAACTGTTTAACTTTGTCCAAAATGATCAATCTTAATTTCTGTTTTAAAAGGAATTGTTTCACTGCATTACACTTTTTGTTGATTAGCTTAGGTGTTTGATATCACTGGGACAAGTGTATTTCTGAGATGGCAGTGCTTTCTAGATTTATTCTTTGATTTTGTTGAGACTTACTGCTGCCATAACTGGTGGAATTAGCTAGCCTAGATTCCTTTTTAGAGGAGAGAGAGATATGCTTGGGACTGCATTGTAGGATTTGGCAGACTTGTTCTGGTACTGTAACATTGGAGTAATTGTGATATTAACATTTTACCAGTCTAACATCCCACTTTTTATATTTTGAATTCTGATCACTTTAGAAAAACAGATAGATATATCTAGCCAGATTTTGTTTTTTAATTAGGAATCTATCTTGTTTCCTGTTAGCTTCTTGCCATCTGTTCTTAAAATGAGACATGAAAGATGAAATTTGTTTATGAAGATTGGAAATAAGGTGACCAGGACAATTTATATGTTTCTTGAGAAATTTCTTCAAATAAGAAATTGCCCAAGCCAGATTGCCTCATTGTTTCAAATAAGGTTGTTGTAAGAAAAATATCCATTGAACCTGATCCTGAAAGAAAAATAAAAAGGTAAATAAATAGTATTGGAAAAAATAAAAATATTTACTGTCCCACTTTGATTATGAATGAGAATTAAATATTGATTAGCTTCAAATGGCACAAATATGCACCCACTTTTTTCTTTTTCGTTTCTTCTAGAACAGTTTGTAAAGAAACATTTTCACTCAAAATTATGAAATGATATGTTGCAATATCTAGTAAATCCATTCAAAGAAATGTACTTTCAGAATGGATCATTTTTTGACTTATCATTTTTAAATAAATATTGTTAAATAATCATTACATGATATACTGTAAATGTAATTGGAAAATACTGATTCATATATGGGTAATAAATCCATGTTTAAAGCAAATCAAAAACCATAAGCACCAAAAAATATCTGTAAATAAAAGGCACTGTTTAATTTCAATATACTTTTAGTCAACACACAAATGTGAAATTAGACAAGTTTCAATTAGTGGAGGAAGACTTGTTGCCTGTCCCTCTCATGTCTCATGCTTGATGATGCCTTATGCACAAATTATTCAACTCTAAATTCCAGACATTATTTGACACTTAAAGTTTAACTTTTTAAAGATTTCTACCAATTTTCACTATTTTCACCCCAGTGTGTGTTGTACATCTCAGGGTTTGATCAATATATCAAACTCAGTAGGATTTGCAAGACATATACTTTTTTTTTTCTTTTTTGTTTTAGACCCTTTCTGCTCAGGGAGCACTAGGAGGACAAGACATACTACATCAGAGCCATTAGAAGGTCATTAACATCAAGGATAAAAGAGCACAAAGAAAGCTTTTGGAAGGCCAACCCTACTATGGCATTAGCAGCTTAGGTGATTTCTGATCCTGGTTCATCTCAGTCAACCAGAATGAAGCTAAAATAAACCAGAAGGGGAAAGGAACATGACAGGAAGAAAATCAGATAGACAGATGGTCTGTGCCTTATAGCATGTGTCTAAAGTGCCTGATCGATGAATAGATGGCATAAAGCTTTCTATTGAAAGCAGACTATTACTGTTGAGGTTTTGTTAGTTTAGCAAAAAGAATGCAAAAGCCTGCATTTTCTGTGTACCGCCAGAAGTATCTATTTGGTTTAGTGACTCTCTAATGACTTGTCACTTGCATCCATGAAAAGTGCCAACTGCAGACTTTGGTTGGGGTATGTCAAGAGTATCAAGTTCATTAATTTCTCCTTATAGTGATGAAAGGTGTTGGTTGTCTCTTTTGTCTATTGAATCTTGTGTTGGGTTTAAGGTTTGTTCCCTTTAATAGGTCATTTAGTTGCGCTAGTGCTTGGGCTGCATTTGGGATGTTCCTACAGTAGGTCCAGGAAATGCCTAAGCTCACAGTCACTGGAATCTAGTGACAAGTGTCTACTGACTGTAATGACTTGCTAGGATACAGTCTACATGCGCAGGTAATGGTTTAATACTGTCTTTGCTAACCAGATATTCCAAAAATGGTAGTTCTGGGACTCCAAATATGTATTTTTCCAGATTGATGCCAACACTTTATTTTGACAGGTGGTGGAAAATGATCTCCAGATGTCTCTCATGTTGTTCCTTGGATTCTCTGGTGATTAAAATGTTATCAAGGTATGCGAATATGAAATAGCATTCCTGAAATACCTCGTTGATGAAACGTTGGAATGTCTTCACTGCATTAGATAGACCAAATGGCATGAATACAAGCTCAAACATACTAAAAGAGGTTATAATCACAGTTTTTGGAACATCTTTCGATATATCAGTATCTGATTGTAAGCATGGGCTAAATTGACCTTAGGGAATATGGTTTTATCAAATAGGGAACCAGAGAAGTTTTGCAAGTGTGATAGTAGGTAGCAGTCAGGAATTATAATTCAGTTCAGTGCTCAGTTATCACCTGTTGACCTAAAATCTCTTTGCCTTTGGTACCAAATGCAGGGGGCTAGCCCAGTTATAGGTGTTGGGTCTCAAATTCTGTGTTCTAGCATATATTGAATTTCTTTTTTTCTGCATGAATTTTGCCAGGTGCAGTCAGTGGGGTTTAGCGAATACAGGCTGACCTCTTGTTAATATGCAATGTACAGTATTGTGCTTGAGCACCTTGGTTCCTGAGGTAAGGGCAGAATATGTTCAGATACTTCTCCAAATGCTCCAATATGCTGATGAGTTAGCTATCAGGTTACTTGAGTAACTTTCATCTCAGTTTTTTTTCCATTGGTGGATAGTCTGGTGGTTGAATCTCTGAGACATGCCCCTTTTAGATTGATTAGCAACCCATAATATTGCAAAAAATCAACACCTATAATCAGCTTACTAACATCTGCTAGAATGAATGGCCACTGGAAATGGCAGCAGAGGCTAAGGTCAATTGTGACCAATCTTGTATGGATGTACTGTTTGCTGAACAGTGTCATCATGTGGGGTTGTTCCTCATGGTGTTATTTGAGAAGGGCAAGACATAGACATTGCTTTCACAATCAACTAGATATTTTTGCCTAGAAGTGTGGTCAAATATGAATTAGGGACTCCTATTATCAGGTCTGAAATCACAATGGGCAACTTCATGCAATCTCCTTAGGGATTTCCTGACTGGCAGAAAGAGCATGGGAAGTGGCAGTCTTTTTCCTCACACCTGTACTTCTGATGGTGCGAACATTGGTTGTTAGCATAATTTTTTTTTTTTTTTTTTTGGGCATCTATGAACATCGCCGTCAACATGATCTTCTCTGCCTAGATTTGTCTTGGGGAGAGGATAGTCATTTGATTTGTTTATGTGAGGGGGTCGGGTTAATCTCATCCTGACCACTTAATCTGCACGGGCTGGTAAAACCTGATCTCAGAGTTGTTTGGATGGCTAGGAGGGAAAAACAAGTGGGGAGTGTGCATCAGTAAGTCAATCCAAGTCAATCTCCTTGGATACACAGGAGACAGGTTTAAACAACAAAGAAGCATTTATTATATAACTAAAGCTAATTTAAAAAAGTATACATAAAGAAGTTACAGATTTAATGCTTAGATGCGGATAACACACATCTATAACAGTGATCTAACTAGTAACTATGCTGCATGTCTAACCTCTAGAGTGAGAGAGTTTACAAAGGTTACTGCACTCAGATATACTGTCGGATGATGGTATGCAATGGTCATTCTGGGCTATGGAAGCTTGAACAGTCTGCTATCTGTCATTTTGGAACTTTAACGATTGTACGCAATGTTTTTATACCTGTCAAATCTTTTCTTTTTCTGAAAATTTAACCTATATCAACTGTTTATGAGCGTGTTTTCCTATATTTTCATTGAAGAAAACCCATTTTACAAATAAAATTACAAAAATACCAGTGGCTAGAACGGATAAATTGTATTTGCATTAATTTCTTTGGAAAAAATTGCTTTGGTTAACAAATGGAGTCATGGAACGGATTAAGTTCGTTAACCAAGGTTCCACTGTATCTGAACCCTTTTGATCCTTGTTAATGCTTACATGTGTTACATTTTGTCTGCCATGATAGCCAAGTTTTCTAACCTGTCATTGGAGGCCACCAGGATTTTCTGGGTCTGTTGCAGCAGTCTTTTTAGCCCTAAAGTCTTTAGGAAATCTTTCCCCAATTTATTATTAGCTAATTACCTTATTTTTTTCAACAAAGGAGATTGTTTTTAATCTCCCAATGTAATCTCTGAGAGTAGCACTTTTATTTGCCTCTTTTTCAAATCTGAAAAATTAGCAAGTAGTCTTGCATTGAGTATGTCATAATGATTTTCAGCCTCTGGGCCAAGGACAACATTGCTTACATAGTTCAATATATCAGGGTTGAGAGCAGAGATGAATGAGTAATATTGAGTAGTCTTTGGTGATCAAGGAGATGGGCCTCTCTGTTTGCAAACCACAGGTCTGGGGACTTGTCGCAAAATGGCAGTAATTTAAGGGCCACTCCATTCACTTCTGCAGTGGCTTCAGTTTCCGATGTTTTAGTTTTAGTTTGATTGCTTGACTGGCATGAAGGAAAAGACAAAGGCCTACTTGAACTCATGAAGGTGGAGTCTGGAGTTTGGTTTTATGAATTGTTTCAACATTGTTGGGTTCAAGTTGTTCAGATTATTACATTGTGGGAATCACATCCAGCTCACCAGTGAAGTGCCTACTAGTGGAAAGCTCACCACAGAGCTTGCAAAAATGGTGCTTGAAGAGAGCTACAAACCGTTGTGGACTCAAACACTACTCAGATGCTGTAGCGACCAGAAACTCATCTGTATATGGGATTCTCTCCTCAAAATAGCCTTGGAACCATGCAACACTTCCATGCTTGACCTGACCAACATATGGGTCGCTTTATATAAATGGTTAAATAGTGATTTACATTTGCTGTCACACCATTAACATGGATCTGTATCCATGCATGCACTGCATGATGTCATAACATTGAGCATGCTCATGTTATGACATCATATATAGTATGCTCATAACAGTTTTTAATTCTTAACTTTCAATTTTAAATAATATGTGTTCCACTCACATTAGAACATTCGTATTTGATTTGAAATTTGGTTGCCTGATGATGACTAACATAAATTAATTGAAAGTGCTAGCAATATAAAAACTATTAATGCCATAATCAGTGAGTTTTCCTTCCTTTGATTTATTATTTTGTGTGAGGATCAAGCTGTATTGTGCCTACTAGTGATGGGACAATACCAAAATTTTTCCAGATTCCGATTCTGCCGAAAACTCCTAATTCTGATTCTTTAGAATACTTTCTAAGTTTATTTTAGTTTAGAAAAGTTAATGATTTATATTATGAGCGTGTTACATTCATCAATTAATAAATATCAAGCTATCCAGAATCAGTTTTTCAAAAGAAACCCAAAAATTCTCTATTTATATGTGGATATGCATGCTTTTTTTGTATACTACAAAAGTAAATTTGTAATCTTATATCAGATAAAGTTAATATTGCAACACTATCCTCAAAGAAATTACAGCTAATTTCCTTTTACTCAAAGAACTATCCCATCATATCATCTAAGGTTGCCATCTTTGAAAAACGTTTTGTTAGTCGACGCAATGACTGGGGGAAGGTAAACTAGAAGATGCACTTTGTTTTTCAGGCTCCTTGCAACAGTATGCCTCATAAATGCTTTAATTCCATTACATTTAACACTAAATTAGGTTAACACTATTTATTTCATTTAACACTAGATGGTTTAGACAAATACCATCGTCATCATGAGTTAACCAATATTTGAATTTATTCACTTGAGCCCGGTTTATGTGAACTTTTTTCAGGAAAAGAAAAATCAAACAAGTTCTTAGGCATCTTGAAAAATCAATTTTTAAATCTCAAAACAGCAGTAAACTTAGCATGAGCAATTATTTTTACTTAGTATCTTGCAAATCTCATTTGAAAATTTAATATATTACAAAATCATCTGTGAATCATAACAAACTTTCATAGTTATAATCAGAAAATTGTTTTATCATTTAAAAACACTTCTATATAGCCTGAAACTAATTTAGCTTGAATAAATACCTGAAAACTGCCTTGAACTGTTTAAGAAGACAGTTATAATTTTCTTGTTAAATCAGACACAGACATATGAAAAGGTATCAAAAATGTTTGTTTAAATAAATTAAAAGTGTTGCTGAAAAAAGCTTTTAAGGCGTTGTTCAAGTATTTTATCATTATAAATAAACATACTAAATAATAAAAATAATTTTCTATAATATTTTTAAATTAAAACATAATTTTGCTTATATTTTAAACTGTTTTGTCCACGCTTAAATATTTTTGTCAACCACTGGCCTTGATTTGAAATTGCATGCCAAGCCGACTTGATACCAGCTGGATGGCAACCCTAATGTCATCCTATCTCCTCTAAAATGGGGACAATTAGTACTGACCAAGTGCAATCTCTCATTAGTCTGACTACATGAAAGAAATGTCTACTATGACAGACATCACCTTGTGAAGTGGGGCATCACATACTTTCTGCTTTGTCAACATGAAAATCTCCAATAAACTAATACTTAATTGTTAATATTGTAATTTTAAAATTTTCATAATTTAGACTGAAACAAATAATTAATTTTCTTACTAAATGTAGAAGAGTCATTTTAAAAATCGGAAATAATGATGACGTTTGCTTGATTCCGATTCCAATTACTGGAAAATATATGATTTTTCTGATTCCTGATTCCAATTTTGATTAATCATCTCATCACTGGTACCTACTATGACATGACTCTTTTCAAGATCAGTCTTGTGCATGTCAATCTTTCCGATTTCATACACACATAGTGTTATCATTGTGATAAGTAAACAAAATTAGACAGTATGATATGTTCTCTAGGCAGTTGCCAGGTGTTTATTATCCAAGTTTCTATGTACAAACTTACAACAACATATCAACATTGCGACAATGTCCAAGGTGCAAGGTGGAGTCACAACCAAGCATGGGCATGTCAACCGTAGAAAGTGAAGTTAGACTCGGTCTGACATTACTAGGGTTGAGAGTGGTGGCCCAGCATTGTGTTGTCAAATGCCACAGACTTCTTCACTTATTTTAAATTAAACATTTCAATTAATTTTATTTTTTTTAAATTTAAAACTTTGTACCATATCTTAAAACCCTTAATTCTCCTTCCTGTAGCTTCATCCAATCTCCTTAACTAAATATAATTAAACTTTGATTACAATAAGCAAGGTTATATAAATTTAGTTTATCTTATATGTTACAGGATATAGTAATTCTGGCAACATTACATAATGATATGTGATTACAATAATCAGATTCTATTGTATTATTTTTTATTACCATAATTTTATCATTGATACATGATATGTTTTTATGCTAATGTTTTTCATATTTCAGTTTTTCAATTTAAATTTTTGACTGTTTTTTTTTTTTTATTTTACAAAACACATTAATTTTTATCTAAAATTGAATAGAAAATGTATGCATTTCAGGTTACCAGTAACAGAAAAAGTTTTTCAGAGAGATTTACAAACTGCTTTGGAGAGATCAAAGCAGGATGGGGAAGGGAAAGACGGTAATTTATTTTAATTATATTCATATATTAAATTTTTATAAATAAGTAGTTGTATAAAATATTGTACTTTACATTTAAAATTTTATTTTAAATTAAACTTTCTTGTTAATTTATTTTTAAAAATTTTAAACTACTGTAAGGTCTCTTTTTATGCGGATTATTTTTATGCGATTTTGAAGTTGTGCGGTTTGTATTTCATCCAAAAATTTCTTGGACAAACATACATATAGGCTTGTTTAGGAAGCCCGCGTACAGACAGTCTCCAAAAATCGTGGAACGCTCAAAGCTCACTCCATTTGTTCCACTGACATATAACGTTTATGGATGTAAAGGACAGCTAGATCTACCTTAATCGCTTTAGTTCCTAGCAATTTTTGATATAAATGTAATTAAACATAAAAAATACTTAAAACTGAAAAAAAC